GGATAGAGGAACGTTAAAGAGAGATCCAACTTAGAAATAAATAGGAATTTCCTGACAGTGAGCAATTGATCAATGCAACAGCTTGTCTCCAGGAATTGTGGGGGCTCCACCAGAGGAGGTTTTCAAATAAAAAATAGACTGGGCAACTGTTTGACCTTGGAGAGGGGGTTGGACTAAAAGACCCCCAAGGTCCCTTCCAGCCTTAGCATTCCATATTCTAAAACAGGTAGAAACTAATCAAGGAGAGAAGCAACCTGGAACTAAGGAGAAACTTTCTGACAGAACAATTAACCAGTGGAACAACCTGCCTCCAGAAGCAGTAAATGCTCCAACACTGGAAGTTTTTAAGAAGAGACTGGACAGCCATTTGTCCGAAATGGTATAGGGTTTCCTGCCTGAGCAGGGGGTTGGACTAGATGACCTCCAAGGTCCCTTCCAACTTTATTATTATTATTATTATTATTATTATTATTATTATTATTATTATTAGAGTTAAAGGACAGAATATTAATTAATATGCAAGCTGTACTACAGAACTAGTTTGGTGTTGTGGTTACAGGCCCCGGATCAGAAACCTGGAGGTGGGGAGTTCCAGTTCCGCCTCGGGCACGGAGCCTGCTGGGTGACCTCAGGAGAAGGAAATGGCCAACCACTTCCCAAAAGCCTGTTGAGAAAACCTTGGAGGAATTTTCCAAACAGTCACCAAGAATATGCAAATGAACTTCAGGTTGGGGGAAAAAAAAAGGTAAGAACAAAACAGAGGGAAGTCAGGCCCTAAAGTAATGACAGTGCTGCACAAACACAAACGCACACACCCCCTTTGCTGAAAGACGCCCATCCATGGCTGGGAATCAAGAACCTCCGTGTGCCATCCTGAGTTTAGTTCCTTCTAGTCCAGGTGAGTCTTGCAGGAGGTGTGGAAAAGCTGCAGAGTCAAAGGCAGTCTACCCCACCCGAGAGAGCAAAGGCCACGGAGGCAGATGGCCGTCCCAGTTCTCTGGGGTCACAATGAATGGCTGAGAGGGGGCAGGACTGTGGGCCAAGAATGGGTCTCCCATGTTCAGGAGCAGTCTACCTCGAAACTGCTGGGAGATAACAGGCAGGACAGGAGAGCAGGCGGGGGCTCCGTATCCCTGGAGAGAATCCCGTGGCTTCAGGAACAGGGGTACGTTTAACCAGGGTTACCTGCTAGTACTTCTCAACCTGGCTCACTTTAAGGTGAGTGGACTTCCATGCAGAATTATTAACCTTGCGAACTCTCCAGCTTCCTCCTTCTGTTATATACTCAAGATGGACAATGTTTAATATTTATTTGTTATGTATATGCAGAGGTGTGGGTCTGTACATATGTAGTACATAGTATGTTTTAGGTGTGTGTCATGTAAGTGTTTCACTTTGAGAGCGGGCAACTAAATTTCATTGTTGATGTCTGCCGTTGTGCCCACAGTAATCAAAATGACAATAAAGGTTATCTTCTCTTCTCTTTTCTTACTTCAACTCCCAGAGTTCCCCAGCCAGCTCTCTCCCCCCCCCCAATATCCAAGAAGCGGCAGAGCCCCCCTTAAAAGGGTCCCTCCCACCCCTCATTCTAGCAGGAGATCCAGATAGATCTGGTGGTGAAGGATCAGGAGAGCAGCAGGGCTGGTATTGCCCATCCAGATCCTGAGGAAGGTGGACATGTCCAGTCCAGTTCTACAGCCGGGCCTGAAAGGCATTGGGATGAGCCAGTCCATTCACTGATGTCAGAATAACAGAAGAGACCTTGGAGATCATCTAGTACAACCCTCTACTCCAACAGGAGACCCAGGCTAAGCCATTCCAGACAAATGGCTGTCCAGGCTCTTCTTAAAAACCTCCAGTGTTGGAGCACCCACAACTTCTGGAGGCAGGTTGTTCCGCTGGTTAATTGTTCTCACTGCCAGGAAGTTTCTCCTTAGTTCCAGGTTGCTTCTCTCCTTGATCCGTTTCCCTCCGTTGCTTCTGGTCCTGCCTTCACGGGCTTTGGAGAATGGGTTGACCCAGCCCTCTCTTCTCTGGGGCAGCCCCTCAAATGTTGGAAGGCTGCTATCACGTCAGAGTTCAGGAGGTACCAAGGGGCACCGACAGGGGGCTCTAGCGTCCAGCTTCACTGCGGGACTCCGGAAACTCCCCCCCCCAACTTGCACCAGCCAAGCGAGGTCTGAATGAAGGACTGCTTCCTGCACTCAGCCCCCCCCCCACTCCTCAGAACCCTGGGAGGGAGGGACTGACTGCAGGCAAAGGAGGGGGCTCTCTCCGTGGGGAGGGGCTACCCTACCCTTGAAGCACAGGTTTGCTTATTGATGCTGGCCTGACCCTGGGGCTTCCAGCCTGGCTCAGCGCCAGCTTGGCATCCCTTTCCCACCAGCCTCTGCCGGACATCGACTTTTGTCCTCCCTCGGAACCAGGGCACCCCCCGCCCGGGACCCCCTCCCCCAGGAATTGCTACCAGATATTAATTTGTGCATCGCAGACAGGAGTAGAATAGAAATAGAACTGGATGCAGAGGGGATTATTTCAGCTATGTGCATATCTTAATTGAATTGCATATCTTAATGAAGACACAGATTGCCCATCTTAAATTGAACCAACATCACGGCAAGATGCCTAACTTTGGCCTGGCTCAGCTGCGTTAGTGCTGGACGCGCCCAGCAGGTGGCGCTATTGTCATTTGCAAGACCCGTGCAGCCCAGTAGCTGCTTTCCAGGAGATCTGACTGAATTTATTATTATGTGGAACATCTAATACTGTTCGTTTATGGTTGTATTTATAGCCATTTGGGGTGGGGATAGGACAGTGGTGGGATTCAGATAGGTGAACAACCGGTTCTCTGTGTGGATGCCCCTTCCGGAAGTCCATTCTGGGTCTGGGCAACAAAAAATTAGCTCCAGGTTCTGCCGAAGTGGTGCGAACGGGCTGAATCCCACCACTGGGATAGGATATTTATTATGTTTTTCGTATTTGTTGTCTTTTATACTATTGCTGTGCACCATCCAGAGTCACCTTTTGGCGAGATCTATTTATTTAATTATTTGAAACATTTATATAGACGCCCATCTTCAGACAACGCTGTGTGTCTCCCCATGAAAAGCAGGTCTTTAGGGCCTAACGCAGGGGTAGGCAACCGTGGCTCTTTTATGACTCGTGGACTTCCGCTCCCAGAAAAGCTGGCTCAGGACTTCTGGGAGCTGATGTCCACGAGTCATAAAAGAGCAAAGGCTGCCTACCCCTGGCCTAAGGGAAGGCTGCGCAAGTGGGGGCCTGCCAAACATCAGGGGGGCAGAGGGGCTGCCCCAGAAAAGGCCCCTTCCCAGCTCCCATCCGATGGCAATTCTTGGGGGAGAGCACGTCCACCTTCTCTGATCTGGTGGGATGGGTGGATCTCCTTGGGGAAAGAGGCTCCCGTGGGTAGCCTGGCCCTGGGCCAGGTGGGGCTTTAAATGCCCCTGAGTTCGCCCACGTAGACCCTCTGCTGTGCTAGCTGCACCAGCTCTGTTTCCTTCCCAGTGCAATTCCAGGTCCGCTAAGGGCCTCACTTGTCATCTGGAGATGACACAATCCTGGTCCTGTTTTTTCATAAGGCCTAGGAGAACACCTGGCTAGGTACCCAGGACCTTGAGGTGTTAAGGATCCCATTTCCTGGTTATCTCCACATTTATGGGTTGTATTCTCTCTGGGCTGCTATTTAACTTTCTCTTGCAATCTCCCAGTAATTTTGCTTTTAATTGATGTCACGACAGCCTGCTTGTTTTGAGAAGAGCAGCCTTGCAACTTGGATAAAAAACAGACAAAATAAAAATATTTTTCTCCTTCCTTTTGTCAGCCTCTTTCCTAAGGGCCTGGGAGCTAAACTGCAGACTTAGACTCCTGACCTCTGCTGGCTCAGGAATTCTAGGCGTGGAAGTTGTTAAGTCGTAAATTTGCCATAGTTGCCCACGGCTGCTCTGGCCGAGCACAGAAGCCTCTCCGTCTCTTTTCAAGTTTCCTTCCTCCTTGCTCTGCCATTTCCATGTCACTGGGGGGGGGGGGCAAAGGGACCGTCTGGAGAGTTTCTTCAGATTGAGCCCGCCAGGCTCACCTCCCCACCCGCTCTCAGAGGTCAGCTTCCAGGATGCCCAGCCCTTTCCCGGACGGATGGAGGCTGGAGGGAGCCCCGGAAAGTAAACAGTGGGATCCGGGCCCTGGGCTGCGCCTTGCCCGTCTGCCCAAGGGAGACAGCTGCCCCCTCTGCCCTCCTTCCAGGATGCAGGATGCCACCCTCCAGGGTCAGTGGGTCATTTGCATCACTGCTGCTCCCCCAGAAACCCAGGGTGACGCTTCTCCGGTCATTGGCCCGCTTGTTAAATTTCAGTGCCGCCTCCAAAGCTGGAAAGCTCGTAAAATAAATACCGTGCAATGGAAGAGTACATAAGAATAAAGTCATAAAAGAGTCAATAAAAGCAGATTAAAAAATCTGCCACGTTGATCTCTGGCTCTCTGAAGGGAGACTCCCCAGCCCAGCTGGGCCCGGCTTCTGTGCCAGGGAGGGCATTGGGGAGCTGGGGGACCCCAAGGTCACAGGTGGCCTCTGGGTCCAGGGAGCCGTGGTCCACAGGGCCCACTTGCTGCTGCTCCCGCCCAGGGCCCCTCGCTTCGCCCAGCATCGTAAAGGGCAACCAGGAACTGGCCGGTTCAGTTGCTCAACTTTCTCACAGCCCCAGGAACTGGGCAAAGGGCGGCAGGGACACTCTGCAAACCTGGGAAACACCCAGATGTCCCAATGGCTTCCAGAGCCAGCCCAGTCCAGTAGCACCGATAACAGGCAGGCCTGCTGGGCAAGCGGCACAGGTGTGTCTTGCAGAGGGTGTTGACCCCAAGGCAGGCAGCCGCCCGGCCGGTTCCCCTGGACCCTGACCTCAGTCCGAAGGTTTTGCATCCGGCCAGAGGCCGAAAAGTGTGGCATCTGCTTTCAACCTCCCTTTGCACACAAGACACGATTTCAATAACTTTCTAGGCATTTTTATTCTTTCATCAGTCCCCAAAAGAGCGGAGGGCACCTCCCCCCTCAAGGTCGCCCCTCCAGGGAAGGGGCTCCCTGCTTGAGGGTCAAGAGGCTCCCTGCACTGGGGCAGAAGTCCAGCCAGGTTGGCTCTGGGGTGGGGGCCACACACAGCACCGCCCAGGAGGAGCCCTGCCCGGGATGGCCTGCGCCTCCCCCCACTGGCCAGGAAGGCAAAGGCTGTGGAGATCCCTTTCCACTGGGGGGGGCAGGAATCAGCAAAGACCCTGCAGTGGTGGGTCAGCCTTTCTGGGTCAAAAGGGGGTAGGGGTCCAGAAGGACTGCCCCACACCTCACAGCAGAAGGCGAGAGAGCCAGGGGGGAGAGTAGAGGGAAATATGGGGGGGGAGGCTCTGTGGGGCAGAGGAAGTGTCCCTGTAGCTGAGCCTGCCAGAGGCACTTTGATCCCCAGGTATTGCAGCCCCCCTCCCCACAGCTCCTCTTGGCCTTTCCTGACAGCTCAAGTGCCTTTGCCTGTTCTCCAAAGGGCGGGGGGGTGCTCACCTGAGCTGCCCCCCAGGCAGAAAGGAAAGCAGGGAAGGCACATTCTGGAACCCGAGAGATTGGAGAGGGCAGCTGAGGAGAAAGACCCCAGCTGGGTCTGGTCACCCACCCAGAGGGGCATTGTGGGCTGCCCCCTTTGCTATCTGATTGTGAAGGGGGTAGGGCTTGCCTTACACCCGAGCAGAACCAGCTGGGACAGCACCTCAGCCTCCCTCAGGAAGAAGCTGAGCCGGGCTATAATTCCCTTCAGGGACAGGGGCGAACTACGTGCCACAATCATTGCACGTCAAACTTGGGGGGCCATGATGCTCCCACCCACTTGCAGTTTGGATGCTATGAGAGGGGCAGCAGCAGATGCCCCCTTCCTGGAAACTAGCAGACATTCATGCCCCCCCAAAACATCGGCCTTGATTCATGACCCCCCCAGCCAGTCCAGTCCAGTCCAGCATCCAGCAAGGGAGCCCTTCCATCGCTCCAGAAACTGCCCCTGGGGGGGGTACACCTTGTGCAAAATAGAGTTGGGCAACAGGAACCAGCCAGCCTCTGCGGATCCCGTGCCCAGCGAGTACCAAGCCAGGCTGCCCAATTTCCAAGACATCCCCAGCCCCAGGTTTCGTGCCAGCTTGATGCCAGCGCTTGCAAAGCCTCTGTTGCATTTTGCAGGGGGGGGGCATGTGGGACAGACTGTTCAAGCCAGACCCCTTGTCAAAATACCCAGAGGGGGGGGTTCTTCCGAAGGCCCCCTGCAGCAAGAGTGACAGCCGGCCGTGGTTTTGGCTCTCCCAGGCCAGGGCAGCCCCCGTCCCCAGCGGGCAGAGCTGCCTTTCGTCACAAACTCTGGTACATCTCCACCTTTTTCCCGCAGACCAGGTCCGGCTGGTGAATGGCGTCCCACATCACCAGCATCTCGTAGGGCACAAACCGGTGCACCAGGAGCAGCTCCTTGTAATAGCAGGGGTCGAAGGACTCCAGTTTGGAGGAAGGCACCCTCACGCCCACCGTCCGGATGCCCATGTGGGAGGCGGGTGCCAGCCCCGCCCGCTTCAGACACATGCCCAGGTAGACGTCGTCGATGGGGAAGAGCTGGATGCCCAGGGACTCCCGGTAGATGGCGTGGCAGGTGTAGCCGGACATCAGCAGGCCCCCTCCCCCGCAGTAGGACGGGTAGGAGTTGGAGGCGGTGACCTGCTCCGGCACGTAGTACTTGCTCCACTTCTCCCGGACGGGGCCCACGTTGGTGATGAGTTGCCCCACAAAAAGGTGCTGGTCGCCCGCGCCGGGCACTCCCAGCAGGTAGTGGACCATGTTGTCGGTGTTGGTGAAGACGTCGTCGTCCCCGTTCAAGACGAAGCGGACGGCCGGGCAGCGGCTCTCCAGCCAGGCGTAGAAGAGGACCTGCTTGAGGGTCAGGTTGAAGAAGCTGTCCACAAAGTGCCACTGCAGGATGTCGCCGTGCTCGGCCTGCTCCAGCTGCAGCAGCCGGTTGAGCTTGCGCGCCTCCCGGGCGTTGGCCGCCACCCCAGAGAGGAAGACGCGCCGGATCTGGACGCCGGCAAAGGTCCGCTCCTGCCCCCAGGTCTTGCGGATGATCTCGCGGCGCTCGTAGTTGGCCGGGGAGGACTTGATGGCCAGCAGGAGGAAGACCTGGTGGGAAGCCTCCGGGGGGCCACACTTCCCGGGCAGGTCGAGCAGCAGCGGGAAGGCCCTGCAGTGGCGGAAGCGCAGGAAGTCCTTGATGTGGTCCGGCAGGCCGCCAAAGCCGGAGATGTTGGTGACGGAGGCATTCTCCCGGCACTCGGGCAGGGGCTCTGTCGCTCTGGGGCTGGGGGCAGCCGTGGGGGGCAGCGGGGTCTCTCCCACCTCGAGGACGGGGCTTCTCCTGTGCGAGTGGAGGAGGAACAGCAGGCAGGTGAAGCCGACTACGCTGAGGAGGACGGTTTCCACCTTGTAGCTCCAACGCCGGGGCATCATGACCTTGGAAAGGAGAAAGGAGGTTGAACTCACCGCCAGGCGCCTCACGTCGCCCGGCTGTGAGTCGCAGATCGCAGGGCACGGTTGGGTGAGGAAAAGTATCCGGAAAAGTTCACAAATATGCAATTAAGGTGTCATTAAGCTGCTAACGCACTGAATTATCATTGCCTTAACAAACAGGAGACAACACAAAAGCTTAGGGAAGCTGACAGGTTTTCCCCACCCAGAGAGAGATTTTTATTGTGTGGAGAAAGAAATGCAGCCACACCCGAGGCAGCTCCCAGGAGCGCCTCTCCCTCGCCCAGGGGGGGGTCCCTCCCTCGCCATCCCGGAAGGGAAATGTCCGCAGCAGCCCCAGAGAGGAGGGGGCAGGAGAGCCACCCACACTTCCTCCTCCTTCCAGGGGTTCCTGTTGGGCGTCACAACCCTCAGCCCAGGCTGGGGCTCCCCGCAGCCGTCCCGCCTTTTGTCCTTCCCAGATTTTGCGGCAAGGAGCCAGGGCAGAACCGGTCATGGGGCTGCAGAGGGGCTGGCTGGGATTGGCCGGCTGGGGCTCCCCTGTCTCCAGGGGACGGGAGCAAATTTTGGGGAGCTCGAGGGGCGCAGAGGGGGGAGAGGAGATGGGGAGAAGGGAAGAGGGAAGAGTAACAGGGCAGCCAGTCCTTAAAAAGTAAGACTTTGGGTTGGACTAGAAGACCTCCAAGGTCCCCTTCCAATGCTCTATGCTGGTGGAAGTCATTTTAAGGCACTCAATCCCCTGGAAAAAATGTCACATCCATCTCAGGCTGAGAGAACAAAAAACCATACAGGTAGTCCTCGTTTAGCAACGGTTTAACGTTACAACAGCATTGGAAAAAGTGACTTGCGACTGGTCCTCGTATTTATGACCATCAAAGCACTCACCACCACCACCCTCAATCACACAATCAAAATTTGGGCATTTGGCACCAGCCAATGCTTTAGCGTCCGTCCCGGGGTCCCGTAATTTGCGACCTTCCCAGCCAGCTCCTAAGGACCACAAGATTTACTTAACAACTGCAGTGATTTGCTTAACAATCATGGCAACAACGACAAAAAAAATCACAGTCACTCGCAACTCACCTCACCGCCTTGCTTAGCAAGGGAGATTCTGGTTCCAGTTTTGGATGTAAGTTGAGGGTTACCTGTTATATGATATTATGAAGGAATCTGGATGGCTGGTTTGTTACCAGGAGCCCTCCGGCTCTTTCTAACTCATGGGTTTTTTTTGGGGGGGGGGGAAGGGGTCTGTAAAAAAATTCTGCAGATTCAGCACCATCCCAACCTCAAGACCTCCAAGGTCCCCTCCAGCTGTTCTGTTCTGTATTTCTGTTCTTTTCTGTAATTCTATTCTATTCTATTCTGTATTTCTATTCTATTTCTATTCTATTCTGTATTTCTATTCTATTCTGTATTTCTATTCTATTTCTATTCTATTCTGTATTTCTATTCTACTCTGTTCTGTAATTCTATTCTATTCTATATTTCTATTCTATTTCTATTTTATTCTGTATTTCTATTCTATTTCTATTCTGTATTTCTATTCTATTTCTATTTATATTCTATTCTGTATTTCTATTCTATTTCTATTCTATTCTGTTTTTCTATTCTATTTCTATTTTATTCTTTCTTTCTATTCTGTATTTCTATTCTGTATTTCTATTCTATTTGTATTCTGTATTTCTATTCTACTCTATTCTGTAATTCTATTCTGTTCTATTCTATTCTGTATTTCTATTCTATTTCTATTCTATTCTATTTCTATTCTATTGTTTTTCTATTCTGTCTATTTCTATTTTATTCTTTATTTCTATTTTATTTCTGTTCTACTCTATTCTGTATTTCTATTCTATTTCTATTTCTATTCTATTCTGTATTTCTATTCTATTGTATTCTATTCCTATATTCTGTATTTTTATTCTATTTCTGTTGTATTTCTATTTCTATTCTATTCTGTATTTCTGTTCTATTTCTATTCTATTCTGTATTTCTATTCTACTCTATTCTGTAATTCTATTCTGTATTTCTGCTATTTCTATTCTATTCTGTATTTCTATTCTATATCTATTCTATTTCTGTTCTACTCTATTCTGTAATTCTATTCTGTATTTCTATTCTATTTCTATTCTATTCTGTATTTCTATTCTATTCTGTATTTCTATTCTATTCTGTTTTTTTATTCTATCTATTTCTATTTTATTCTTTATTTCTATTCTGTATTTCTATTCTATTCTATTCTTAAAAGGAAAAGGCTGCCAGTTAGCATAGGGCTGGAAGGGACCTTGGAGATCTTCTAGACTAACCCCCTTCACAAGCAGAGACCCAATCAGACGCTACTAAGCCCCCCCCCCCGGGGCCAAATCGTAAAGACCGAAAGAGATTTGAACTGGAGACACTGCAATCCTGCCGGAGTCATTTTGCAATAACTCAAATAACTGGAACTCTGTTGCCAATTAGCTCAGGTAATTAGACTGCGCTGTTTCCAAATCGCAAACGGGGAGCCCATAATCCCCTTCTGGACTTGAGCGACTTTTGGGGGAAGAGTCGGAGCAGGTGCCAAAAGTCGGGAAAGCACACCACAGCCCCCCCAGAACGACCTCTCTCCTCGGAGACCTGTTGCCAAGGAAGGTCCAGCTGGTCTGCTCCTTGGCACCTGTTTATGTAGTCTTCAAATTACAACAGCTTGTATAGTGACCGTTTGAAATGACAAGGCACCTGAAAATAGTGACTTAGGCAGGGCCATTTTCCACACTTACGACCACTGCAGCAGCAAAACCCCCCCCCACAGCCAGGCAATCAAAATCCAGGCCTTTGGCAACTGACTCACACTTATGACGGTCACCACATCCCGGGGTCACATAATCCCCTTTTGCGATGCCTCACAAGCAGAGTCAATGGGGAGGCTGAATTCACTTAACAACCACGTGGTTAGCTTAACAACTGCAGCAATTCGCTTAACAACTGTGGTGACCAAGGTCATAAAATGGAGCAAAACTCACTTAACGTCTCACGTAACAGAAATGTTGGGCTCGACTGGGGTCCTAAGTCACGGACTGTCTGCATACATGTGTAAACTAGCAATAAAGAATGTTACTGAACTCCAGGATAAATATAAAAAAACTGTTTTATTATTAAGCTTTCGTGGGTCCTCTGCCGACGTCGTCACCCCCCCCAGTCAGCCATATTGCTCCTAATCGCGTTGCGTCTGCCTGGGTGTGTTTGAGTCCTGGCGCTTCCCCCCCCCTCCTTCTCTTCGTCCTTCCCGCCCGTGTGTGGCTGCCCAACGTCATTGCCGAATCATCCTCCGGGCTTCCCCATCTTGTAGTCGCGGTAAGTTGTTGCCCAATTGTGTCCGGTGGTGTTCCTTCCGTCGTATATCCTGTTTTGCCCTCGCTGGTCTGTCGCTCCTTTTCTGCCACCCGGGTGGATCGTGTTGGTGTCCCCCCCCCTCCGCTCGCTGTGGTTTCGTGCTGCTCCATGGGTGGGTGTCCTGGGTCTTTCCTATCCTCCCTCCTCCTATATCTGGGTGGTATTTGTTGCATCCGCTGTAAGTTTTTATGCCGTTGCTCATATTTCCTTAGCGTTTGATACGCCAGCAGAAGATCTATATTTTGGTTGATTGAATAGTCATCTGATAGCCAGGCTTCTTTGAGCAAGTGGACACTCTTCATAGGGTCTTGGGCAGTGATGGTGAACCTTTTAGACACTGAGTGCCAAAAAACTGCCCCACCCCCTGCTCCGCTCTGTGCCCTGTCCACCCCCCCTCCCGCCCACAGGGTCACCTACCGCCTCCACAGCCCGCTGCAGCAGATTGCCCAGGAGGCCCTGAACTACCATGGTGGCCACGCCCTCCGCCCGCGGCCCGCAGCATCATCTGCATGCAATGGGCACAAGGGCGGAGTCTTGTCCCTGCTGCCCAGCTGCCATGCCCTTGGCTGCGCTGCTCCACATGGGCAGCTCCCAGGGTGACTCTACTCCAGGAGGGTTGCTGGTGAGGACGGGGCCACAGGAGGCAGGTGGGTCTGGGGCAACGGCATGCGTGGGTGCCCACAGAGAGGGCTCTGCGTGCCACCTTTGGCGCGTGTGCCATAGGTTCGCCACACTGGTCTTGGGCAATAGCCTCCGCTCCCGCAAAGTCGAATGAATGGTTGCTGTCAGCCATGTGCATCCACAGCTGTGGGTGCTGATCCTGTCATCTGGCCGCCAACCTGTGTTCATGGACCCTGGTCTTGAGTCACTTTGCAGTTTCTCCGATGTAGTTGCAGCAACAGTCTTTGCACCTGACCTTACACACCACCGATGATCTTTCGTCCTTTGGCAACGGTTCCTTGGGTGTATTATTTTAGCACGCAACGTCTGGCTCCGCTTAGGCGCTACACTGTTGTAGGTTGCTAATATCCGTGCTGCTGCTTCGGATACCCCGCTGATGTAGGGGAGCGTTGTCCAAGCTGTTGTTGGTCTGTTTTGTGTTTCACGGGGCTCTAGATGCCTGCTGTGTTGCCGGATGAAATCTGCCGGATAGTCGTTGTATTTGCATATGCGATAGAGGTGGGTCCGTTCTCTGGTTTTTGCTTCCCTTGTGCTGCAATGGGTGTTTATCCTCCTAAATAGTGTTTGGATGCAGCTGATTTCATGGGACATCCGGTGGTTTCTCCCATAGTGCAGAATCCTGTCCATGTGTGTCATTTTGCGATAAACGGACGTTTGGAGGGTGCTGTTGGTTTGGCGGCTGACCAATACATCTAAGAATGCCACGTGTAAACATGTATGTGCATCCCTAAATAAATGTGCATACACACACGCACGTAGTATGGTTCTATAGAATATAAGTTGTGAATTAAAAAAAAAACTGGCCCAGAAGCGAAGATGCCCTGAAGCCCAGAGCAGAGCCCATGCGGGGGGGGGGGGGGTTAATCCAGAGGCCGAACCGGGGAGGAAAGAGGTTCTGGGGACGAAGCGGCCGTCCTCGCAGTGGGGGCGAAGGTGGAGCTCCCTGCAGAAGGGCAGCAGTCTCGGTGCTAAACAATGCGGCAGGGGTCAAGCGGGGCTTTTTTTGGGGGGGGGCTGGCCAGAGTAGAAGGCCAGGGACCCCGGCTAAAGGGAGGAGGCTGGCCAGTGATCCAGAGGAGGCAGGGGTGCTCCCCCCTCCCCAGATTCTCTCTCCTCCCACCCACAATGAGACAGGGACCCCACAGTGGTGTGGGAGGCCAGAATCCTGGGTGGGGGGGCAGCTGGAGGGGGCAGGGGGGCACCAGGGAGGGCTCTGGGTGGCTGGGGCTCTGAAGAGAAGGAAGAGAACAACCCCCCCCCCCAGCCTCCTGGGCGGCAGCAAGGGGGAAGTCCTGGGAGTTGGAGAGCAGATGCAACCCACGTGTGTGTGTGTGTGTGTGTGTGTGTGTGTGTGTGTGCATGCACATTCCCCCCCCCCTGCAGGGCATCTCAGGGCCAGTGGCATCGCCAGGCGAGGTGGCTTCAAGAGCGCTCCTGTCTCAGGCATGGTACCCTGAGGTCATCTGGGCAGATGTCACGGTGGGTCTATGTGTCACCAGTTAGATGTGGGCACACACACACACACACGCACACACACACACACACATGGCTGAAAGCCCCACCCTGAGTTTCCATAATTGCAGTGGCCGAGCCGGTCTGGCCAGGGAGGCCGATGGGTGCCGGAGGCAGCAGCCCAGGAAACTTTTCACCTGCTGGCTGTGAATCTTTCTCCCCCCCTCCAATGCCCCCCCATGAGTTTCCGGCCTGATCCAAGGGCAGCCGTGCACAAAGCAAGCACACACACAAATACACCCCTCACTCACTCGCTGCCTGGCCCGGGGGCATGAGAGACAGACGCCGCCAGTCCTCTGCTAACAACAACTTTCTGTTGCTAAGTGAGACATTTGCTAAGTGAGTCTTGCTCCATTTTACGACCTTTCTTGCCACAGTTATTAAGTGAATCATTAAATTAGTAACCTGGTGGTGAAGTGAGGAGAGGCTGATGGACTACGTGGTCCAGGGGCCCCACCTGGCAGGGCCCGGCTTCTCCTCCAATGTTTTCTTCATATTTTAAAGCCAAACTGCCAAATTCTTGGGGGGGGGAGCAAGAAAGAGGAGAAAGAAAGGGGGGCAAGGTGTTAACCTCTTTGGGATTCTGTACACACACACACATACGCACACAAAAAAACAGAGCCATCCAGATTGCAGATTCCACCTGGATATTTTTCAAAAATAAAAGCGAAGGCTACAATGGGCTCCCTTCGGCCCGATGTGCTGAAGCCGAGCCTTCGCAGAGGGTGGGCTCCCTGACCTCAGGAGGGCCCTATGCCTCCAGCATTCTGATGGGTTATCCTCCTCCCCGTCTCCAAGCCTCACTGTTGTAGCAACTGCCAGCCCAGCCGGGGCCTCTGGGGGGTTCCCTGCTTCTCTGCTGCTTTCCTGCCTCCTTCACTCCCTCCAACTCCCCAGCTGCCACTCAACCCTGCTGCCCCCCCCCTTAAAAAGCAACAGCCCCTCTGCAGCCGGGAGAGACCCAAGGAAGAGGGGGGGAGGAAGCCCCCCTCTCTGACCCCCACCAAAGCTCTCAGACCCTTTGCAGCTGATCTCCAAGATCCTTGGGGTCTCTGAAGGTCAGGGGCCCTGCAGCCAGATCCAGGAGGGGGGGGGAATATCTTGGAATTGCAAAGATCTGCTTCCTGCTGAAGTGGGGGGGGGGCAGGTGCAAAGCAGCCCCCGTTCCTGTGGCAGCAGGGAGAGAACCTGTTCTGCACAGGTCCCTCTCGGATTTGTGTTTCCTCTGGAGATGAAAGACGGGCCTTGTCTCACTTCTCCAAAATAAACAACTTTGCAGCCACTTCTCAACTCCTTCAAGGGAGCCGGAGTCACTCTGCAGGGGGGGGGGGCTGCTGAGGAACTCAGGTCTCCTTTGCAAGGGGGGGGGGATGGGACCTCTCTCCCAAAGGAAGCAACTTCTAAAGCAGGGGTGTCCAACTATGGCAATTCTGGGAGCTGAAGTCCAAAAGTCTTCAAGTTGCCAAAGTTGGACACACACACACACACACACACCCCATTCTAAAGCACAGAAACACCCCTTCCTTCCTGTCTTTTGCATCTCTCTGTCCCCCCCTTGTTGGAATGGGGGGGGCTGAATCTGGAGTGGGGGAGCATTAATGCAGGCAGCTTGCCCATCTGGTTGCACTCACTGGCCACAAAACAAACAGAGCCTGGCTTAAAGCTATTTATTGTATATGCTGCGGAAGGAAGCCAAAGCTTGCGCACCACTCCACCCATACAACCTCTATTGTCAACCTTTGTTTTCAAATTAGCTTTTGAATGAAAAGATTCAAATGGAAAGCCAGCAAACAAAGACACTTCCCAGCTGCAGAAATTTGCACATTTACTTTGGAAAAAAACAAAACCTACTGTATTTAAAGAAAGAAGCCAAAGGGGAAGCTGGTCAGGGGCACCCATGGGACTGGGCTTTGGGGAGTTCTCCTTGGCCATTTGGCTAGGCTGCCCCCCCCCTTTGTGCTGCCAGAAGTGGGCAGGGCCCCCTGGGCAAGTGCCAATGGCTGCAGGGACCCTCATGCTTGGGGCTGAGAGGAGACCCCGCCTTATGGCAGCAGAGAGGAGGGGGCCGTGCCTCGCAGTGGGGACTCAGAAACTGGGGAGGTTGCAGAACACAGAGAGTGGGGCATCCCCCCCCCCACACACACACGCTCTTTTCTCAGCAGAATAAATATGAACCGGTGCAAAAGAGCGGAAGCCTTACTGCCACAGGAAGTGGTGCAAATGGCCAAAATCCACCCAGCTCTTCTTAGTAAGAACCACTTGTTATGACTGATAATAGGCACAACAACTTTTTCCTCTGCAACACAACCGCCCCACCCATCTGAGCCTTTCAATTGTTCTATTTTCCTAAAGAACACAATCAAAAGTAATTTCAGCTTCCCATTATTCCTTCCTGGGCACTCGAAACAAGCTAATCCAGGCTGCCTCCCCTCCAATTGACAGAAAAACTGACCAGCAAGATTATCTACTCCCCGATTCCACATTTTAGCAGGCAGGAGGTGGCCCTGGCGATTCCTGCCTGGCCCCAGCGCCGGGGTGGGGGTCCTGCCTGGCAAGGCGACCCGTCTCCCTTCCCATCTGGGGGGAGCCCGGCCCTCCCAAACGCTGGACTTGAAATAAAACAGCGGGGCCAAGAACGGGGGGGGGAGAGGAAGGAGCCCTGGGGAAGCGGGGACAACTGTCCACGCCAATGAAATCGGTCTCCCTAACGAGAGAGAGGCTGACCAGTTTCTCAGTCCACACGCCAGCTGGGTAACTCGGGGTCAGTCCCCCTCTCAGACCGTCCCACCTCACAGGGCGGTTGTTTCGGGGAAAACGGGAGGGCGAAAGCGGCGCATAGGTCTGCTCCCCTGGAGTTCTGCGCAACAACAATAAAGCCGGGATACAAGCAAACAAACGCTGGGCGCGCAGAAGTCGCGACCGCCACCATCTCGTCCCGCTGGGCTGAGCGCCTTGGGGGGCATCGCGCCCCGCCCCCTCCCTCCTCCTCCTCCTCCTCCTCCTCCCCCCCCCCGGGGAAGCGCGGTTTGGCCGGCCACAGCCCCCCCCCCCGGCCACCAAGGACGGCGGGGGGGATGCAAAGCTCCGACGAGCCCCGGGTCCGCCGTTCCGCCCGGGGACTCCGCGCCCGCAACCAGCCCCGGGTGGCTCAAGCGGCCGGGAGAGCGGCCGGCCCGAGGGGGCTTCCGCGGCTGCTCCGAGCGCGAGACGAGGGCCGCCCAGAGAGACCCCCGCGCTCCGCCCGCCCGCCGGGAGGCTCCGCTGCGCTGCCGCCGCCCGGCCAGAAGCCCGCCCAGCCGCCCGGGGAAGAGCGCCCGGCCCGGAGCCCCTCGGAAGGCGCGCGCCTCTTGCGTCTCGCGGCCGGGGATGATGGGGCCGGAGCGGCCGCCTTACCCGCCGGCGCCGCAGCTGCTCCGCGCCCGCCCAGCTCGCACCTGGCAGCAGGCAAGCAGGCGGGCGGGCGGGCGGGCGGGGCGGGGCTCAGGCGCTCGCAGGTTCCCTCCCGCGGCCCCGCCCCCCGCCCCAGGCCCCGCCCCCAGCGCGGCGCAGGGCGAGGCGGGGAGCCGTCCGGGCGGGCCAGGCGGGCCGAGGGGGAGCCGCGGGCGGCCCTTCTTGGTGGGCCCCTGAAGGGCCCCGCTCGGCCCCGCCCGGCGCTCGGCTCTCCCGCGGGCCTCGGACCGGGCGGGGGGCGGCAGTTTGGACGGCGCCGGCGGGCTTTGGCCCCGGCAGGCCCGCTCGGGGCCCCGGTCGGAGAACTCGGGTGGCCCCCGCGGCCCTGAGTCGCTCCGAGCCGCCGCCCGGCCAGCCTGCCCTGCTGCTCTTCCCGCCGAAGAGGGGCTCCGGGTTGCCTTAGTGTGAGGCAACACCCGACGGCGGTGAACCTCACCCGCGTTCTGCGTCCTCCGGGGCTGGAGCGAGGGCGCCGGGCGGGAGCCTGGACGGGGGGGGGGCGGAGCGGCCGAGGGCCAGGAAAAGAAGAGCCGGGCTGCCTCCCGAGGGGCAGGAGAGTCTTTAAAGCTGGCGGGTTCGGGGTCCCCCGAATATTTGAGGAGACGGAAGTGGCCGCTGAAACCTCACCTGGTCTAGAAGACGGTAAGCAGCCTGCGGGCTGGACTTCGCAAGCGCTAGGGGGGGGGGTACCCGCAGATCATGGGGGACTATTAAACCGAGTAAGCCGGCATGAATTTGGAGTGTGGTGCTCTGTGACCGGGAAAAATAAAGTTAGCAAAGGATGTGGCTGTTCCTGGACTTTGGATAAAAGGCTGGCTAGATTGCCTCCAGCAAGAATCGTAGCATCCTAGGTTTAGAAGGAGGTCTTCTAGTCCACCCCCTGCCTGCCGGAGGTTCCCCTTGACCTCAGCAACGGGTCAGCTAACGGCCTCCCTCGACAGGCATCGGTTCTCCTGCTTGAGCAGGGGGCTGGACTAGAAGATCTCCAAGGTCCCTTCCGGCTCTATTCTATTCTAAGGCAGACAGGATCCTCCACTCTCTGTCTGGTCACTCTGAAAGGTCAGGAAATGGGTCTTGGCCTTGGGATACTGACAAGAGTCCCCCCCCTGCTCTGGACTTAGCTTTTGGCCTTTGCGCTGACCCCCAAACTCACCTGCATGGGTGCCAGGAAGGGACGTCGGACCAATCCAGATCCTGGAAATCCAGGAAGGACGGGAGATTCTGTGAAAGGAGAGGCTGCCGCGAAGGTTAACGGGTGGGGGGTGGGTGAGGTGGGTGGGTGGCAGGAAGGTGAAGGCAGAAGGGAAGCGCGAGAGGGAGGGGCTGCCCCCTTTCAGAAAGCAAGAGGAAAGTGGAGAACTGCCTGCTTGGCACCGACAGCACCCGTCGCTCCAGTGTGGACACAGCAGTCCAGCCTGAAGGTGGAGTGGAAGGAAGGAAGTGGGGCCAGGCCCCAGGTGGAACGCTGAGGGACCTTGAAAGGAGGGGGAGGGGGAGGGTCACACCTGTGCCAATAGCTGAAGAGGCTCAGCCTTTGTCACTCCAGAAGGCAGGGCCAGAACCTGGAGGTGAAAAGCACAAGGAAGGGGAAGTAATAATGTGTCAGCTGCCAGCCTGGGGAACAGGCTGCCACATGATGTGGCCTCTGTCCCCAGAGGTCGGAGGGCCATCCATCGGAGGGGCCCGAGTGGAGCTTGCACTAAGCATGGGCTAAACTAGATGACCTCTAAGATTCCCTCCAACTCTATTAACCAGGGGGCTGCAACCGAGTAGGAAATGCTAACACTGCTGGCAGCCCGTTTTATCCGGGGCAGGAATGCAGCTCTCAGCCGTGGCCCAGACCCTGCGCCTCACCCCATCTTGACAGGGGGCTCAACCCCCTGGGCGGGCTTTGTAGAGGAGAGAAGCAACCTGGAACTAAGGAGAAACTTCCTAACAGCCAGGAAAATGAACCAGTGGAACAAATTGTCTCTGGAAGTTGTGGGTGCTCCATCCCTGGAGACCGGACAGCCCTCTGTCTAAAATGAGCATAGACTCTCCTGCTCGAGCAGGGAATTGGACTAGATGACCTCCAAGGTCCCTTCCAACTCTCTTACACTGTGACAGAACCCAAAGGGAAGAACAGAAGACTCGTTTTCGCAACCGCACAGCCAGACTCTCTGGGGCGAGGAGGGTGAAGCGTGCAGTTGATACTGCCAGCCTTGCTTTGGGGGCGGGCAGCCTCCCCCGGCATCCCCTTCATGAGGGTCTAGCTTCCTCCCCAGGGGCTGGGGCTGTTTCCTGCTGATCTGGGTGTCGGCCGATCACTCCGGGACCTGTCCTTGGCTGTTTGTCCCTTTGGCTCTCCGGTTATCTGTTGACAGCTGGACGCCAAACTTCCGGGAATTCACTACCAATTCTGGAATTCCTGGATCAAAAGAGTAGTACCTTCCCAGCTGGAACTGAGGCTGAGGGCAGTTGCGTTTAGTGGTTAAATACCACTTCAAGTGTTGCAAGATCCCACCTGGTTTGGTCACCAGGACCAGAGGTTGATTCTTCCGAGCCACTGGGTTCTGGTAGGAGTCCAAAAGCTCGGAGAACTAAGCTTCTGGTCCCAGATTGGATCCTGCAACATTATCCTGGGACAGGTGGATTCAATTTCCTTTAAGGTGTTTCCGCTGCCACGTTTCCCGTCTCCTGGCTGGGGGTGGCCTGTCCGTCTTCCACCTGTCTGCCCCTCTTCGTGGCTCTGGCTGGTTGCTTTCTGGCCTGGGGAGTGTGTCTCTTCACTTGTGCAAGAGGGGTTTTCTTACAGGCGCGTGCACAAGAGTGAATTCCTCTTCCTGTTTTGCAGAACTGCGCCCTTCTAAGGCTTTGGGGAAGTGAATCTGCCTAGGTAGGATTAGCTATTTTGATTAGCTTCGTTTCTGAAGACTTTCGCTGACTTTTTGCCTTTATTTAGACACCTTGGGGCATGGTTTTTTGAAGTTGTTAGCATCTGCCGTCCTTAATTCAGAAAAAGAGCAATTCAGAAAAAAAGGAAATGCACGCAGTTCAGATTCCAGAGCAGATTAAGAGGACTGACCACGCTCCTTTCCTTAACCACCATCCTTGGTGGGAGGGGGCTTCAGAAACAGGGTGCCCTGAGAGAAGTCGCTCCAAGAAACGATATGTTTCTGTGAGGAGGGGGCCCCACCCGCCTCTCTGAGCGAAGGGGCAGCTGAGAGGAGCCGTTCTTATTTCTTAAACTCCACCCTGAATTAGCCATACGTAGCAAATCTTCTCCATTTTAGTTGCTTCACATTTATTTTCTGACATCAATAGGCCACTTAGAGTTGCCTTATTGGTGCGATGGGGGACATATAAATGTAATAAATAAAATACATTGCAGCCCTCAACAAGCCATGATTCCCCCATCCTAACTGATTCCAAGTTTCTCCAAGTTAATTCAACCCCAAAAAAGGAACAAGTGTAACACACACACACACACACACTAGAGCACGCCAGGGGAGTGAGGCTATCCTTCCTTTTCTTTGGACCCCACCCCCATCCCGCTTCTCTTCCCCCACCCAGGAGATCACTTCCAAGGGCTTCCTGGAAGGGCCAGGGGCCTCTTCAAACAGAATAAGAGTTGGAAGGGGCCTTAGAGGTCTTCTAGTCCAACCCCCTGTTCAAGCAGGAGAGCCCATAACAGTGGTTCCCCAGCCTTTTGGGCACCAGGGACTGGTTCCGTGGAGAAAAGTTTTTCCGTAGACTGGAGAGTGTGTGGGCTTATGTGCTGCCTGCATCCCATGGATGGGGCTTTTGATTGTTTGTGCGGACCGGTACCAGTCCACGGACCGGGGGTTGGGGACCCCTGCCCTATACCATTTCAGGCAAATGGTTGTCCTGTCTCTTAAAAAAAAGCCTCCAGTAATGGAGCACCCACAACTTCTAGTGGCAAGCTGTTCCATTGGTTAATTGTCCTCCCTGTCAGGAAGTTTCTCCTTAGTTCCAGGCTGCTTCTCTCTCTCGGTTTCCATCTGTTGTTTCCTTGACCTGCCTGCAACTTGGGAACATAGTTTGACCCCCTCTTCTTTGGGGCAGCCCCTCCAATATTGGAAGGTTGCTATCATGTCTTCCCCCGCCCAGTCCTTCCTTTCCTTAGACACCCAATTCCAGCAACCGTTCTTCGTATGTTTTAGCCCCCAGCCCCGTGATCATCCTTGTCGCTCTTCTCTGCACTTTCCAGAGTTTCAACTTCTTTCGTACATCACAGCGACCAAAACTGGATGAAGTAATTCCACGTGTGGCCTCACCCACAGCTTTGTAAAGCGGTACTAGGACTTCAGGTGATCTCTGCTGGGTGCTGGGCTGGATCTAAGCGTAGCTGGTGCTGCCACTTGGCTCAGGACTGACGTGGGGCTTCCTTATCAGAGCTCTGCAGAGCCTCCTTCCCTTTCCACGAAAAACAAATTCTCGGCCTAAAAAAGGACCCCGTCTTTTTACGGATGCGATTAAGGAGAGAAGAGCTGCGGTTGAAGGAGATCCATACCTGCATTGTTTGAATTTCTTCCTACTTCCAGCTCCGAGGTCTCCGTGCCCGCCTGGGGTGGGTGCCTGGCACTGGCCTCAGTTGCTGTCTGGGCCCTAACCTCTTCCTTTCCCCCCCCCTCCACGATTGGGCAATTTCCTCTTTATCTTCACGGCTTGTTGACTTTATGGCTCGCCCTTTTATCAGGGTGTGTATTTTACGAGGCATGCCAAAAGTAAAGTGTGCAGAAAGGAAGCCAGAGGGCCTTGTGCTTTCTCCAGCCTGAGTCTGCTGTAAAATTTTCTCGTCAAGCCAAGTAGGATGCGGGACGGTCACTGCTGAAACACGAAAGACCAACAGCCACGTTGTGCTGCTCCGATTCACGGAGTCGCCCTCAAAACACTGAAGGCTCAGGGGGGTCTTCTTAAAAACTGCCCACCCACCCCCCACCCACGAAGTACACCTGCATCACATTAAACCTCTCTTTGTTTTCTAAATGAACGCCACCTCCAATAAAAGCACAGGTACTCCTCGGCTTATGACAACTGGAAACAGAATTTCCATGGCTAAGCAAGGTGGTGGTTAAGTGAATCATGCAGTCGTTAAGCGAATCCCCATGGACTTTGCCTGTTGGAAGCGGGCTGGGAAGGTCCAGAGGGGCGAGCAGGTGACCCTGGGAATCAGCAGCTCTGGTAAAATACAGGCCGGTTGCCAAGTGCCCAGACTTAGGATCACGTGGCTGTGGGGATGCTGCGATGGTCGTAAGTGCGAGGACTGGTCACAAGTCACCTTTTTCAGTGCCCTTGTAACTTTCAGCGGTTGCTAAACAAATGGCTGCAAGCTGAGGGCCACCGAAACTTTGCGAATCAGTTCAGGGGATCCGTTTTCATTAGAAAAACAAACATGTTTATTAAAACGCCGACATTCCCTTCGGCTGCTTCCAGAACGGGGCAGGACCAACGGGCCCCACTTTAGAAGAGGCGGGGGGGGGGCAATGCGGACGAAAGCGGAGGGAGGGAGGGAGGGAAAGTCACGGCCAGGTGTGGGGGTCCGGGTTCAAGGAGTCACATCCTCTTCTGGCCTCCCAGGCCTCCAGCCGAGCTTTCATATCCCCCCCCCCAACGTTTAAAATCCAGTCGGAGAATAATTTAAAACACACAAATATATTATTTCTGTCTCCCAGAAGACTTCAGGAGGAAACTTCCCAGGGCCGCTGATGTTCAGGAGCCGGCGAGATAAATTCCTGGTGGGGGGAGAAGGAAAAAAGAGGGGGGGGTGTCACAGCCAACACAGTACTCAGCGGTGGGGGCTCTGCAGGAGAGTCCCCCCTCTCCCCTCCAGCCAAGGCTGCTGCCCAGCAAGGAGGCCAGGCTTGTCACAGCCCCCCCCAGAAGATTGGGGGTCCGCCTTGACCGCAGCAGCAGGCAGCGGCCACGGAGGCCCTCGCCATCCTGGGGGGGGCAGGCCAGCGGGTCTGTCCACTCGGCCCTGCTTGGGGGTCCAGCTCTGGGCCCCACCTTGCACAGGACGATCAAGCCAGCCCAAGGTCAGGAGGGCCACCCAAGTGGGGGGGGTGTCTGGGAACAGCTCACTCAAGAGAAGGAAGGACCTGGCACGCCTGGCCTGATGGAGAATCTGGGGGGGGGGCGGGGTGTCCATCGGTGGGAGGGGGAAAGTTTTGTTTGGGCGGGACTGCAGCTACAGCCCCCCCCCCAGTTCTCGGTTTCATCTGGTGGCCTGGTTGGTTTTCCCCTGGGGGGTGGGGAGAGCTCCAAGCGGGCCGGGTGGGGAGACGATGCCCCAGACACCCGGCACGGAGGAGGCTGTTGTGGATACTGTCGCCACCCAAGGGAGCCACTCGGCCGCCCGCCTGAGGCTCCAGGCGAGAGACGGGGAGTCTGAGGGCTGCTCTCAGCCCCAGGAAGGAGGACAATCCTGACATTTTGCCAGGAAACCTGCAGAGACTTGTGTCAAAGGAAAAAATAAAACCAAACCAATCCAATCTCCCGTTCTTATTGGTTTCGCTTCTTTCAAAGCAGGGCTGGCCCACCTCGGTGACTTTAAGGCTCCTGGACTGCAACTCCCAGAATTCCCCAGCCGGCAGGGCGTCCTGGGGAGCGAGCGGATGGCGTGCCCTCCTCCCCCCGCCCGGGTGCCTGCAGAGAGGGTGGCTGGGGAATTCTGGGAGTTGAAGTCCACAAGTCTTGGCTTTCTACGTTTATTTCTTCCAATTAAGGGCGAGAAGTCCAAATTTTAAGATTTCTTCCACTCCACCACTGCGTAAAAACCCTTCAGAACCAAGACTCTCCCCGCCCCAAAATTCAACAAGACCAAGAAGTCAGTGAAGTGCCTAAGCAGCCTAAAAGGCGGGGCTGAGAGGATTTGGGGGGTCCAAATGGGGGTTGCTGGGAAAAGAGCAAATCCGTGCCCGGTCTGGGATCCTGGGAGGGAGGGGCTGGCACGGAGCACAAGGGCACCCTGCTGGAGGAGGGGCTGCGGGGGAGGTCCTAAGAGCAGCCAGGAATTGGTGGGAGGGGGCTTGTTAGGGTTTATGAGCCTGAGGGAGGGGAGGGACAGTGACGCGTCTGGAATCCCAGTGGGCACGCTGGAGGGATCTTTGCGGATGACCCTGGCAGGGGCAGAGAAAAGAGTCGTCATCCCTAATGGCCGGATCCAGCCCAGAGTATTGGGTCTCCTGCTTGAGCTGGGGGTTGGCCTAGATGACCTCCAAGGTCCCTTCGGACTCGGTTATTCTGCTGCCACACCAGCACATCCCACTGTGGCCAGCGCCCAAGGGTGACCCTGTGCCAGGCCCAGGACGCCCGCCTGCCAGCTGAGAGAGAGCACGGCAGGAGCCTGCCTGGGGCAAGAGGGACCCCCCGGGGCAGCCCGGCCCCCTCCTCACCGGTGGCAAATCTCTTCTTCACCAGCGACATCCGGTAGCCGCTGCCCACCAGCTCCACGTCGGCCCCCGAGACGGTGCTGCCCTCGCTGGTGAACTGGGCGGCCACCGGGGTGGGTCTGCTGGGGCCGTCCAAGGGCTCCCAACTGGCCAGGAGGCGGCCGGAGCCTGAGGGTGGGGAGAGAGAGAGGAAGGTGAAGGGGGTGCTGCTCCCCCCTCCCACGGCTGAGGAAGGGCAGCCTGGCCTGCCCCCCGCCCGGCTCACCTCCCTGGCCCTGGGTGCTGGGCACGTCCAGGAGCCGCCAGAGCAGGCGCTTCTCCTCCAGGTTCCTGCAGGGGGCGACAGAGGGGGCGCTCTTGGGTGCAGCCGCCAAGGCTGTGACACCCGCCCGTGTACTCCAGTCCCGGTCATCTGGGAACAGCCCCCTGACTGGGCGAGGTCTTTGGCCATCTCTCAGTTAGGGGAGGGGGCAACACGGGGCACTGAGGCAACAGCCCCCCCCCCAATTCCAGTTTTGTTCCTGTTTGATGCCGGGGCTCCAAGTCTCCCAAAATCTCCACTCTGGAGACGAAGGGGCCCAAATGGGGCAAGAGGGACCAAATGCCGCTCAGGGTCACTCGGGGCACAGCAGGAAAATAAAACGAGTGAAATAAAACAAAATTGGGCTTTTTCTGCTGCCAAAAGGGGAGCCGGGGGGGGGGAGGTTGGCCATCGGGCAAGGGACCCCCAGACAGCCACAGAAGCCCAGCTCCCCCCCCTTTGGCAGGTGCCCACAGGGAAAGCCAGGGTAGGGTTGCCCTGAAGGTGTCCCCTCCCCCCCAGCCATCTTCATGAAAAGCTGGCTCTGGCCTGGCCTTTGCCCCTGCCCCAAGGGCAGATCTGGGGGGAGAGCCCTGCGGGGGGCCAGGCCTGCAGTGCCAGCCCCATGGAGCGAGGGGAGCCTGGCTAAGGGGGAAGGGCACCCCTTTGCCCACTGTGGGCCATCTGATGCAGCCGCCAGCTGCCAGCCGTGCCCACCATGCCAGCCTGCCTCCTCCAGCTGAGTTCGTCATGAGCCCCTGGGGGCCTCTGGGGGCCCTTCCGGTGCCAGGTGCCGCCTCCCCTGGGGCCCTTCACGCCCTTCCCTCGTCCCCCTCCCCACTTACCAGCAGGCCTTGGGCTGGGGCTGGACGTTGGCCACGGGCTCCTCAATGGGCAGCAGCACTTGCACGTTGGTGAGGGCCACGGCCGAGGCCAACGCGGCAGCGTTGTAGCGATAGTCCACGCTCACCCGGGTGGCCTCCGCGGCGCACTCCCAGCTGACCGACAGCTGCAGCGGGGCCCATTCCGGCCCCTGCCTGGAGTACTGGGGGCGGCAGGGCGGGCAAGGGTGTGGGTCTACATGTGTGTGTGTGTGTTTGTGCGTCACGCACCTGCCCCCTCCCACCCAGGTCTGTTTCCCACATCAGCCAAGAGGAACCAAAGAGGGCTGCCCCCCCAGCCCACTTGCCAGCCCCCAGGAGAGCAGGGACTGCAACCCCCATTTGCCCAGCAAGCAGCGGAACCAGCTGGGAGTTCTTGGAACCGTAGTCCCAAATGCAGGAGGCCCTGTGAGAACCTGAGATAGCCACCAGGAGTGAAGGGGCCACGGGTCACCCCCAGCCTGGATGCCCCAGATGCCAACCCCCCAAGAATGGCCACCCCTATAATCTTCACCAGGGAACGTTATTAAGAACACCACCCACCCTCACACAGACTACACTTAACTAGACTAAGGTTAATTGTTTTCTGAGGTTGGAACGGACCCTGGGGATGATGCACTGAAGCTAAGCAAGGCAGGGTTAGTCTGTGGATGGGGGACCACCAAGAGACCCCAGGGCTGGGAGACTGGGAAGCTGAGAAACACCCCAGGAGGAGGAAGTGGCAAAGCCCCCCTCCCAGAAACACCAGCCCCACCAAGGCCTCCCCTTTGCACGCACCAGGGTTTGGGGAGGGGGTCCTGCCCACCCCTCAACTGGGATTCAAGCATCTTCCCGGTTGCTCCGGCCTCCCTCCCTCGGGAAGGTCAGTGGGCAGAGAGCCACACTGGCCCTTGCGGCTCTGAGGGTCAAAGGCTTTGGACGCCCTGCTGACCGGCTGACTCCCCCCCAGGCAGCCTCACCTGGTATCTGAGCAGAGTCACGTTGTAATATGGGGCGCCCCCCGCCTGCTCGGCCTGTTTCTGGAGGTGCCCGGTCAGGGCGGCCATGTTGAGCCAGAAATCCCTGCTGCTGGGGTCGCTCTGCGAGGAGTCACTGGGGGGGGGGCAGGAGAGACGGGGAGGGGTCGGTTGGACCAGCCAGTTTTTGATTGCAGCCAGGCCCCCCTCC